CTCAAAAGCATCAATTCTCCTTCTATCCTCCCTGGTCATTGTCCAGCTCTCTGACGCATAACAAGTGATTGCAAAGACCATGGCCTGTACCAGATACACTTTAGTCTCCAGAGACACACCGTTGTTCTTCAGTACTTTTGAGAGGTCCCTAACAGCAGACTTTCCCATGGCAATACGTCTTTTAATTTCCTGGCTGCTGGTGCCAAGAGTGTTGATTGTGGAGCCAAGCAGATTAAAGCTGGGAACAATCTCATTCTCTTCACCATCCATCATGATGCTGCCAATTGGTCCAGTGGTGTTAATCTTTGTCTTCTTGACATTGAGCCTCAGTCCATACTGAAGGCTGCAGCCCTTGACTCTCTGCAGCAAGTACATGAGGTCCTCCTCAGTTTCAGCAAGCGGGGTTGTGTCATCTGCATAACGCAGATTGTTGATAGATCTTCTACCAATCCTGATGCCACATTTCTCCTCATAGAGCCCAGCCCCCCGGGATGATCTGTTTTGCACACAGGTTGAAAAGGTATGGAGACAGATATGGTTCCCAATTTTGAACCATGCAGTGTTTCCTTGCTCTGTTCTGACAACTGCCTCTTGGTTCAAGTATAAATTTCACATTAGCACGAGCAAGTGTTCTGGGATTCCCATTCTTCTCAGAGTCAGCCACAGTTTGTTATGGTCCACACAATCAAACGCCTTTGCATAATCAATGAAGCATGGATAGACATTCCTCTGGTACTCCCTGCTTTCAGCCAATATCCATCTAACATTAGCTACAATATCCCTAGTACCACGACCCCTTCTAAACCCAGCCTAGACTTCTGACAGTTCTCTGATGATGTGCTGTTCCAGTCGTTTTTGGATAATCTTCAGCAGAATCTTGCTTGCATGTGAAATCAATGATGCCAACTTAGGTAGCCTAATTTATGGGGTCTCTCTCTCTCTCTCACACACACACACATTACTTGTTGAGTTGAAATCAATTCACAGCTGACCCTCCAACAGATTTCTAAGATTATAAAACACAAGAAGAGACTGCGTACCTTTTTCTCCTGTAGATGCTGATGGCTTCCAACCTCCAGAGGAGCGTGACACTATGGTAGCAACACAACTCCCTACTGACTAAGTCCCCAGAGGTCCCTATAGTTTAAATAGACAATCAATCATAGTTGAAACACAAACAGCAAGGGATAAGCTATATCAGAAGGGAAGGGAAATTAATAATTATATAGCAGAAACTTAGTAGGTTGGGTGAAGAGAAAGACTTAAAAAGAAAGAGAAAGAGATGTGTGCGTGACATGAGGGCCACCAATTTACAACTCCCAGTTTAAGGAGTAAGTAAAAATCTGTGATGAGATCCTGGTTACAGGATGATGAGTGAGATTTAGGGGTCAGAGATGACTCCAATGTTGTCATTCTGAATAATTAAGTCATCTGACAATGGAAGAAGACAGTCACAATAATTGCAGAAGACTAGAACTCCAACTTCAGTTGTTTACGTTTTGAATTAACAGGTCATTGGGGGCACATCTTCAACAGGCATTTGGAGATGTAGGATTCGAAGATTAAAGTAATGTGTTTGTTTATTTATGTAACATTACTTTGCTTTTCTTATTAAAACAACACTTTCTTGTGTTTGGGGTTGAGCTTCTTGACTCAGGTTGCCCAGTTTTTTTATACCTCTTTCTTCATAGCACTACCTCTCAGTATCAAACCAAATCAATCTTTTTATGTCCAACTCCACAGTGACAGATAACTCCAGGCTTAGCTTGTGTTAGGAGGGTAAATGTTGGATTTTATTACAGAGCTCTTTCTAGATTTTAAGTTAAAACTGTTAGAGTGAAATAATGCAAGAAATTATCTACAAGTAAAATGATCAAAGAAGTTATTAAAGTAATATTTCTTGAAATCAGGGATGTTTTAAAAATATTTCATTAAAATGGTAATGAGCAAAACAGGCAAACAGAGATAAAAAATTTACATTGGAGCATTGTTCTAGTTTGCTGAGCATTAACTTTGATTGAATAGGAGGATGACTTTAAAATCCCTGAATTAGTTATTAGAACTACATAACCCAGTAGAAAGAACCACCTTTTAAGAAGTGAGTTGGCTTTGAGGAAAATAATAAAATAATAAATAGTACACCTAAAAAATGTTGACTTGGCAAACATTGTGTTACATATTTTCTCAATAATAAAAATAAAAGAGTCAAAGCAATGGAAAGGCAGTTTTGAATAAGCATTTATCTTTTTTAACATTTATCTCTTGATAGAGTGGACACACATGCCCTTCCAGTGGACACTACCAAAGTGCTTCATCCATCTAATTTCTTCTCTCACAGCTAAAAACATTATACTTTATGCAAGCACATTTAGCTGTTCAGTGAAAAGCCCAGGCCTGGATTAAAATTACACAGTGTTGTAGAACAATATTTATTGTCATAATGCCAACACCACGGAGCTTTGGTGGCATAATCCATAAGAAATTGCACTGAAAACCTAAAAACTATGCTTCTCTAGCATTTTAAATCCACCAAGGACTCTGGAAAAGAAATAGGGATAATCTCCTCTCATGCAATTTATTTATTTGTTTTGTTTTTTTAATTGTTATTGTAATAAAAGTTTATAGGGAACTTCGACTTCCATTCATTTAGTATTCCACACTTTCCTCCCTGCCCACCCACCCACCGCCGCCCCCAGTTAGCTTTTCTCTTTGGAAAAAAAAATTCTTTCATTGTTGTACAACCACCTCCCAAAGTCCACTTTACTATGCAGCTTTTATTCTGGACTGTTGTCATACAAATAATACCTAATCATATATTCCTTTTTAGCAATTCTTTCCCTCATCTGTTTCAATGCAGTGCACACTATTTATCCCCTCTTCTCTTAGTTTCCCCTCAACCCTGATATCAGTCCTGTTTTATAATAGTGTCATAATGCAGGATTTGTCCTTTTGTGACTGAGATATTTCACTCGGCATAATGTCCTCCAGAGCCACCCATTTTGTATACTATTTCATGAGTTCCTCGTTTCTCAGTACTTTATAGTACTTCATGGTGCGAATATACCACAGCTTCTTTGTCCATTAATTTATTGATGGGCATTTTTTGGGTTGTTTCCATCTCTGCTATAGTGAACAATGCAGCAATAAACGTGGGTGTCTGCTTGGGTGGCAGGTCTGGTTTCTTTAGCTTTTCATGCCATTTATAGCCTCCAAAACTTCCTGGAGAGACAGCCATAGCTTAGTTCTGACTTGACAACAATCAGCAAGTGATACCAAATTATAGCACTATATAAACCTAGTTCTTCTGAGAATTGTTTCACTGTTAACTAGAGACAGCAAATGACATTTTCCCTAAGAAGTCCTGGAAGCTATTCTAGAAAATTCTGAGACTTTGTATCTCTAAAGTAACTGAAAAGTTTACACTATGAATCCTTCTACCACATTCACCAAAAAAAGAGATGTTTTCTAAAATTTGTTAAAAATATGGAGGAGAATAGCACAACTAAGTCAGCTATCTCCTGGTTTGGTTTGGGAGTTTTGTTTGTTTGTTTGTTTGTTTGTATGTAATCAAAAGTATAATGTTTTGACCCACTTTGAGGAGAAGATGACTATCTTTTAGTAATAACAACATCAACTCACTAGACTTAGTTCTGACAATAAAGGCACTCTGTTGGCATAGTCTGTGGGGCGTCCTACTGCTCATCCTAAGGCAGTACCTCTCTACTGGTTGGAACCCACCAGCAATTCCAGGAATAAAAGATGGGAAATTTCCTCCTGTGTGATTTATAGCCTCAGGAAAGAAATTGCTAACAACGAGTCTTTTGGAGGTTTGAATTCAAATAATATTGTAAACATAGATGTGATATAGTGAAGTAAATTGTTGCCTGAAATCTGAGTGGTAAAAGCAAACGCAGTTTATAATTATCCACATTGCCTTTGTAGTTTGCAGATAATGAAAAAGAAAAATAAGTAAGAACTAAAATTTACATTTATTTCAGGTCACTTCAATGGAACTTAATGAGTAAGCTGTTTAATGATGAATTCAAGAAGTACCATGATCTTCAGAAACTGTAAGAAAAATTTAATGCCTAGTATTAAAATTATTAACTGAAATTTTGGCCATATCTATATATTTTCACTTTTAAAGAGACTAACTGAAACTCTTTAAGTATAATCCTTTTTAGAAAACTGTTCAACTGTTAACTAGAGGCTACAGGTTATATTTTCCTTAGTAATTATAGAAGCTATTCTAGAAAAATGTAAGAGAATTTCCATTTTAAAAAAATTGAAGGATGTGTATTGTGAATCCTACCACTATGCTCACCAAAATAAATGTAATTAGTTTTTACATTATTCTGACATTATTCTAGCATGAATTGTCTTAATGACCACTTTGGAGATTTTTAAAAATTTATTTACTTGGCCAAATTTATTCTAACACAATTTAGAAGCACAGAAGTCCAAATTTAGTGGGCCAAGTCTAAGGGAAGGTCTTCTTTCTGTGTCAGCTTTGGAGGTAAATAGATTCCTGTCCTCTTAAAATTTGTGGGCCCAGCGTTCCTTGAACATCACTTGAAGATAGGTCTTTGGCATTAATCTTTCTCTTTATCCTAAGGCTTCTCAGTACAGGAACCCAGAGTCCAAAAGACAGGCTGATCTTTCTTGGTAAAATGATTTCTCTTTCTCTGCTCATTTCTTTCTTCTTGTATCTCTTATAAGATAAAATATGATACAGACCACACACCAGTGAAACTCCTCATACATCCAGTCAGAGCTACTGACTGCTCATATAATAAGATCTTATGACAGATCACATCTTGGGAGATGATTACATAATTATCATATGATGCTAATAGCTACAAAACCACTGAAAATCATGAAGCAGCCATGGTAATACATTCTTTGGGAGAAGGTCCCAATTTAATTTATGATGTTCTGCCCATTTCCCCAAAATTTATGATCTTGTCATATGCAAAGCACAAATATGCTGGCAGATCTGCCATCAAGATTAGAAAGTATTTTTTCATTTTCCTCCTTATACTTGCAAATTCACACTTCCCTTAAAATAATAAATTAATGTAGTTTAAAACCTTAAAGCATGCTATTTGGGGGGCTTGATTTCATTTTTGACATCTTACAGGTTGAGTTTTAATTTGTCTCCAAATAACTTTTTTCCAACGTAAGATTATATGTTGTTGTTAGGTGCCACTAAGTCAACTTCTACTCATAGAAACCTTATGAACAACAGAACTGAACTTCGCCTATCCTGCACCAACCACATGACCCCTATTATGTCTCAGTCACTGTGTCAGCCCACCTTCCACTGACCATACACCATTCCCAATACTATGTCTTTTTCTAATCAATGACTCTTCCTAACAACATTCTTAAAGTATGAGAGATAAAGTTGTATCATCCCTTGCCTCTAAGAATTACACACAATAACATTTTTATTCTTTTGGAGATGTTTTTGGCAGCAGATGTTCATGTAAACATGTGTTTTGATTTCTTGACTGCTGCTACCATGGTTGTTGATTGTGGATTGAAATAAAATAAAATAGTTGACTACTTTAATCTTTTCTCCTTCTATCATGGTGGTTTTCAGTGGGAAGGACTTTTTTTATTATTCCAAATGACTTTTTTTTAAAATTTCCATTCGTTCATTGTTGCACATTTTCCTCCCTGCCCACTCCTTCCTGCCCCACCAGTTCACTTTTCTCTTTGAGAAGGAAAAAAAAATTCTTTCATTGTTACCCAATCCCCCCACCAGTCCCCTTAATTATCCAGCTTTTATTCTGGACTCTTGCCATGCAAATAATTCCTAATCATATATCCCATTTAAACAGTTCTCTTCCTCATCTGTTTCAACTCAGTGTACATTATTTATCCTCTCTTTTCTTAGTTTCCCCCAAACCCGATGTCAGTCCTGTTTTATAACAATGGCATTATGCATCATTTGTCCTTTTGTGATTGAGATATTTCACTCAACATAATGCCCTCCAGGGTCACCCATTTTGTATAATATTTCATGAGTTCCTTGTTTTTCAATGTTACATAGTATTTTATTGTGTAACTATAACACAGTTTCTCTATCCATTAGTTTATTGATGGGCAATTAGATTGTTTCCAACTCTTTGCAATTGTGAACAAAGCAGCAATTAACATAGATGTGCATATATCTGCTTGGGTGGCAGTTCTGGTTTCTTTAGGATATATTCCCAGTAGTGGAATTGCTGAGTCAAATGGTATTTCTAAAGGTAAACAACCCAGTTGCAAAATGGGAACAAGATATGAACAGACACTTCACTAAAGAAGACATTCAGATGGCAAACAAACATCTGAAGAAATGTTCAAAATTCCTAGCTCTAAGAGAAATGCAAATCAAAACAACTATGAGGTATCATCTCACTCCAGTAAGAATAGCAAAATTCAACAGACCTGCAAACAACAAATGCTGGAGAGGTTGTGGAGAAACTGGAATTCTTACTCATTGTTGGTGGGAGTGTAAAATAATGCAACCATTAAGCAAGGCCATATGGTGCTTTCTGAAAACATTGAAATTAGACTTTTATTTTCTTAAGGCAGTGCTGCAATCCATGTTAAAAGCTACAGTCTTTGATCTACAGCAAGTGCTTCACGTTCTCTTCCTTTTCTACAAACAATTGCTATATCATTTGCGTAAAATGGGTTATTAAAGAGCCTTCTTCCAATCCTGATACCACATTCTACATCATATAATCCAGTTTCTTGAATTATTTCATTCAGCATGCAAATTGAATAAGCACAGAGAAAGGATTCAAACCTGGCATAGTTAGGACCCTTGTCCTAACTGCTTTTTGGTCTATGTGTAGGTTTTCATGAGCACAAATTTGATTTTTGACAAGGAAATGAAATCAGTGAAGTGGGGGAACGACAGCCTTTTTAACAAATGGTGTTGGCAAAACTGGAAAAATATCTGCAAAAGACTCAAGCAAGACCCACACCTCACTCCATACACAAAAACGAACTCAAGGTGGATCATACCTAGGACTAAAACCAAGGACTATAAAATTCATTACAGAAAAGCTAGGAACAACACTAGAAGTCCTAATCCACAACATAAACAGTCTTCCCAGTATCCTGGAAAACCTACAACCAGGAGAAGATAGCGTAGATGAATGGGATCTTCTAAGACTCAAATCCCTATGCACATCCAAAAACTTCTCCAACAGGGTAAAATGGGAGGCCACTGACTGGGAAAAAGTATTCGGTAATAACATATCAGATAAGGGACTTATATCCAGAATTTATGAAATACTTGAGCACCACAACAAGATAAAGGTAAAGAATCCAATAGAAAAATGGGCACAGGATATGAACAGGCACTTCACCAAAGACGACATTCAGATGGCTAACAAGCACATGAAGAAATGCTCAAAATCCCTAGCCCTAAGAGAGATGCAAATTAAAACAACTATGAGATATCATCTCTCCCCAGTCAAAATAGCAAAATTTAACAGAACAGCAAGCAATAAATGCTGGCAAGGTTGTGGAGAAACTGGAACCCTGATTCACTGTTGGTGGGAGTGTAAAATGGTGCAACCCCTGTGGAAAGCAGTATGGCGCTTTCTCAAAAAGTTGCAAATAGAGATACCATTTGACCCCGCAATACCACTACTGGGAATATACCCAGACGAGACCATAACTGACACCCAAGCAGATATATGCACACCCATGTTTATTGCAGCTTTGTTCACAATAGCAAGGAGTTGGAAACAACCTAGGTGCCCATCAACAAACGAATGGCTAGAGAAGCTGTGGTATATTCGCACAATGGAATACTATGCTGCATTAAAAAACAAGGAACTCATGCAATATTACTCAAAATGGTTGACTCTGGAGAATTTTATGCTGAGTGAAACGTCCCAGTCACAAAGGGACAAATATTGCATGGTGCCACTGTTGTAGAATGGGACTGTCCTTGGGGTTGGGGAGAGACTGAGTAAGATGGGTTCAATAATGTACGCTGCTCTGAAACAGAGAAGGGAGAAAACTGTTTAAAAGAGATATGTGATTAGGTATTTCTGTCATGACAGGAGTCTAGAGCGAAGGCTACATGGTGGAGTGGACCTGGGGGAGGGTTTGTAAAATAATGAAAGAATCTTTTCTTTTGCTTTTCCAAGAGGGTAATGTCTGGTGCGGGGGAGCCTTGGGAGGGGACAAATCTACAACAATGAATGAATGGAAATCCAAAGCCTCTGTAAATTTTCACTGAAATTAATAACAAATTTAAATTTAAAAAAAAAAGAATTAAGTTAGAGTAAGGATGGCAATGGAACCACCTTACCTCTGTAACTTGATTTGAGCCACTATTAGAACCTCTACTCAGAATATTATTGCTTTTCAATTTTTGACTCATGCACTTTTAACCTGTTAGTTAAATTTGTATCTTCTAGGCTGCAACACTTCCATGATACATCTTCAAGGATATGAACATGTACGGCTAAGCACAATTGATAATAGTGCATCTAAATTCCAAAATCAATCTCCGTAATAGTCTATGTGTTTCCTACTGCGAAGGTGGCCCTTTAGAGTAGTGAGAGAAGACATTCACCCTGAAACCCACAGCGTCCCTTTTCAGCAGGAAGTAGCTAAGAGAATACGCCATCCCCTTTTCCTTATGAATCAGAGTGAAGTCTCTCTCAGGGAGGAGTGATAGGGAATGGCAAGGGACACACTGACAAAGGAGATTAATCAGAACTGGCTTTGACAAGCACTGTGGCAATTGGACAATTAAAACAGACATGGGGGGGGAAGAAGAATGAACTAGGGAGGAGAGTGGAGAAAACAGTGCAACAATGAATGAATGAAAACCCAAAATCTCTGTAAATGTTCATTAAAACTAATAAAATTTAATACTAATAAAAAAAAGAAGAAGCTACACAGCAAAAAAAAAATGGTTCTGGGAGTCCCCTTTTCCTCAATGTTAGTCATAATTTGTTATGATCCACATGGTCAAATGCCTTTGCTAATAAAACACAAACATCTTTCTGGCATTCTCTGCTTTCAGCCATGATCCTTTTGACATCTTCTGAGCCCAGCTTGAATTTCTGTTCCCTGTTGATAAACTATTCCAGCCCATGTGCAATAATTTTCAGCAATATTTTACTTGCATGTGATATTAATGATACTGTTTAACAGTTTCCACATTCTGTTGGGTAATCCTTTTTTAAAAATGTAATAAATATAAATCTCTTCCAGTCAACTGGTCAAACAGCTGTCTTCCAAATTTCTTAGCGTAGACTCAAGGACATGCCCAGGGTTGCACTTTTTTGTTAAAACATGACACTTGGTATTCCATAAATTCCTGACATCTTATTTTTTTTACCAATACCTTCAGTGCTGCTTGAACTTTCCCCCTATTGTTCTTGGTTCTGGATCATAAGCCACTTCCTAAAATGACTCATTGTCAACCAATTCTTTTTTTATATAGTAAGCCCATGTATTCTTTTAATCTTTTGTTGCTTTCTGAATCAATCTAGATTTTGTCTAGAGAATCCTTCAGTATTGCAACTCAAGGCTTGAATTTTGCTCTTCAGTTCTTCCATTTAGAAATGTTGAACATGTTCTTCCCCTTTGGTTTACTAACTAACTCTTAATTCTTTGCACCTTTGATTATACTTTCTTTGTCTTCTCTAACTGTTCTTTGGAATCTGTTCATCTTTCTTACGTCAGTATTTCTTTGCTTTGTTTTGTCTCTGTACATTCTAGCGCAAGTTTCAGAGTTTCTTTTGACATTCATTTCTATCATCTCTTTGTCCTCTATTTTTTTAATGACCTTTTACTTTCTTCATGAGTGATACCATTTTTGTAATCTCAAAACTCATCTGGTCTTCAGTCATTAGTCCTCAATGCGTCATATCAAATTCTTGAGATTTTTTTTAAAATTCAAATTGTATAGACTCAAGATCATATTTTGGTTCTTAATAGACTTGTTTTAGTTTTCTTCTACGACTAATTGAACTTGCACATGGGTAACTGATCATCTGTCTACAAGCAACCCCTGGCCTGTTTTTGACTGCTGATGTTGAGCTTCTCCATGGACTCTCCATAGAAGATCATATAGTTACTTTCAAATTCCACAAATAACTCCTGTGGTGTTCCCTCTTACTTAGGTTAGCTCTGTAACTAAATAATATCATTGATATGTTGGGCTTAATTATTCTGTACCTATATCTGCTGTTGTTTTTAATAGGACAGCCTTCAGATCTGTTGTTCATGTGTTGCTATGAGTTGTGCTCTACTCGATGGCACCTGACAGCAATGTATTAGTTTTAGTTTTATACCAGAGAAATCTGGTACATAAGTAATAATTTAATGGATTTTTTTTCTTTTTTGTGACTTATAGAAGTACAGACTGATAGAATCAGAACAAAAAATAATTGTTTTCAATAACATGATTAGGAAACCAGTAGAATGGCTTGCAGATACTTCACATTTGAAATTTAAAAATATGAAACTGATATTTCATAATTTGAGTCTGTACAAGTCTCAATCAACAAAGAAGAGCTTTTCAAAATCAGGCTTGACACAAAAACTTTAGAGGAAATCTTTTCTTGCTCTCTATTCTGATTTAGGTACTATAAAGAAGTTTTCTGACCTGTAGCACCACCTTATGTCCACATGTTTAAATGCCATTACAAGTACCAATCAGTTATTAAAATTTCATTTTAAATAAGTTAGCTTAGCATTTTTAACAGTAAGCATGGAACTAAGTTCATAAATAGTCAACTATAAAATAGTCAAAATAATATAATTATAAAAGCTTTTCTAATTTTGTTAACAAAGACATAATTTGATTTAATGACTGGGCAATGCAATATGTTGCTTAACTACTACAACAGTTAAATACAAATAAATAATTAGTTGCTAAAGTCTTTCTGTGTATTGGTGATAAAGATGCATTACTTAGTCTATGACCACATCAGAGAATATTCTGCAAAATTGTTAGATGCATGTTGTTGGTAGAGGTCATCATGAAGATGATGAATTTAAGCAATTCTATGATCTACAGATTTAAATTTTGCCCTATTCTGAGTCATCCTCACGATCTCTGCCATACTCAAACCTATTATTGTAGTCACTGTGACCATCTGTTTTATTTTCTAAGTGTTCGATATATTACTACTGAAATCATAAGAATGTGACATCATTATTGTCCCTTAACTACACTCCATGTTAATCACAAATTTACCAAGCTGCCCATACAATTCATAGGCTTGGGTGGTTAATATAATATGGGTAGCACTGTCTTTAGCACTTACAAATTAGAAGAATTATAGCAAAGAGATATTAAAAAGTGTGACTTCTGGGTTTTGTTGGTAAGTGTTTAAAATTTTATTCCTAAAAAGTTCAAGTATTAATTTTTAGCATAATATGTTTTCTTTGATTTGATTATGCATTACTTTTGTATCAACACATGAATATCTAGCTTTGGTAATTTATTTCATTGTGTTTACTTTTTAAATATTCATTTTTCACAGGTATCTGCAAAACAATAACCTTAGATCTATCTCCACGTATGCTTTCAGAGGGCTGTATAATCTTACTACACTGTAAGTATCAGTGCCAATGAACTGCCCATTTCACAGTGTTCTGTCAGCCTTACCCATTCCAAAACACCAGTCCTCCTGCACAGTGGTGAGGAACATGAGATGTTCAGTCAGACAGAAATGGATATATGAGTCCTGAATTCACCACTTACAGAATCAACTCAATAGACCTAATTATATTGAAACTAGGAACATGAATGTAATATAAGAAAACAAAATTACCTTGGGAAACTTGTTTTCTTTTCTTTTTTTTTTAAACTTGTTTTCTTTTCTATGCATCATTTAGAAAACACAAATTGTGATAGAACCTACTTGAAGGGCCATCGTAAGGACCAAATTAGGGGGGAGGGATTATATAAGCATAACACATTTGGCCCTCAGGCCTGGTTTTAATATTTTTAGTCAAATATGCCTCTAGGTGGTATAGCACTGGTCTGTCCATTGCTGTACAAAGGTAACTCATGGTTGTTGTGATGTTAAACACTGTGACATTGATGTGTCAAATGTAATAATGGTTACCCAGGTGGACAGTGTTTAGTGAAGCTTCCCAATTAAAACAAGTTTGGAAGCAGGACTGGCATCTACTTATGAAGTGGCTTGCCTCCGGAAACTTTATGAGAGTGGAGAAATGACAAAAATTATACAAGTGTTCAGGTCTTTCATTCATAGGGTCACGATGACTCAATGGCACATAACAACAATTACAACAACATACATACATATTTATATGTTTATATACTCTGCATAAGCATGTATATACACGCACACACACTCCTTTAAAAATAAGTTTTCTCAAAGTTCTGCTTTATTACGTTCTACTGAGTTATTGAACCAAATTCCCTAGGAGTAGATTCTCCTAGGAATAAAAACAGAACCAAAAATTACACATATTCTTGTAAAAACAGAACCAAAAATTACAGATTCTTGTATTTCCATTCCTCTTTCCTTGTTTTTAATGCCATTTTCTACCCTACCTGAAAAAATTCATTTTAATCAGGTGGTATTGAAATTTGGGATTGTGCTAAGAAAGAGAGCCACCTAATTAGTCATTTACTAGCAAAATGGAAGAATGAAACAGAAAGCCTTATAGTACATACTCTACTCATGTCCTTCTCCCTTCTATCATATCCCCACTCCTGACTTGGCCAACTGCTCCAAGTCAGTATAAATTTACCTCATCAGGATCCCAATTATGATTTCTCTAACCTGCCACAAACCTATTCAAAACTTACTGCCTCCTACTTTTAGATGCAGGGTTCAAGACATATGGGGGAAGCTTTTGAAAGGTTGTACAGAACTAGAGAGTCAATTAAAAAGACTCCTCCATATCTTTTGTTCATAGCCATGGAATATTGTTCAGGTTGTCATGTACTTAATTTTTCATAGTCATTGGACCCACTGATTTTAAGTCAGTTCCAACTCATATCAACACTTTGCTGGACTCCAAGGTTAGAAATCTTCACAGGACACAGCCCATCCTTCTCCTGATAACATCTGGTAGATTTGAATTGCTGACTTTTCCATTAACAGCTAATATAGTATGTACTATGGTATCAGGGATCTTTAAATAGTCTGTATACTTGGCTGTTAGCTAATTCATGAATATTCATTAACTCTTACAGCTTGCAAATTCTTCAGTTAGATACCAGATGCATAGAAAGATAAATCATACACATTGCCTTCAAACAACTTATACTTTAGTACTTCTAATGGAGCCATGCCTCTTATGATCTAGAAGGTTGCAGTCTATGAGAGGAGAATCTCATCAATGCATATGTAACAGTTAAAAAAAACAAGGAAAGGGACCGTTCAATTAAATCTCACACTTAAGTCTTTCAGATCATAACTACTATTGTGGTTCACTGAAACAAGTCTAGAATATTAGCATATGGCTCTGAAAAAAATTCGTTCAAACACACAGTTGCTGTAGAGTTTCTCCTTACACTGACGGCCTTGTTTGTCAGAGTAGAGCAGTGCTCCATTATGTTTTCAATGACTGTACTTTTCAGAAGTGGAACAGCAAGCCCTTCTTCCAAGGTGCCTCAGTGCAGACTTAAACCTTAAACCTCTTGATTAGCAGCCAGGCAGGTTAACTATTTGTGCAACCCATTAACTTTCAACAAATAAATAGTACTGCCTGAAATAAATGCGCATAGGGTGCAGAAGTATATCTAATGCCTTCTGCCTGGAAGAGAGTAAAGGGTCTCCTGCATCTTAAGAAAACTACCTGAAATATTAAAGTGGAAAGGTTAAAACTACACTGTATGTCCTCCTTAGCATAATTATCACTTTGTGTTTGCAAGAGAGGAAGGGAAGTGGCTCTGACATATGGCATCATCCTTTGCTAACCTTAGGACTAATAATCTATAGTACCAGAGGAGTAAAATCAGTTGTTTGCACCTTTGCAACGACACAGCAACAGTATCCCTTATGTTGTTGCTATGTACCATCTAGTCAGAACTGACTGATATCTGACACCCTCTGCCCCCAGATGGTTTTCAGGGGCTATAAGTCACATGGGAAGAGTTCACCCATCTTTTCTCCCTTAGAATACCTGATGAATTAAAACCAAGTGCCTTTGAATTGGCAGCAAAACTTTTACCATTATACCACCATCACTCCCTGTTCTCCTTTCTCCTGTGTTGCTGTCATAACTCTATACAGATAGTTGCCCATTTAGACTCATGTCTCAAAAAAAAAAAAGGAATGACTCAGTGCAGCACCTTAGAACAGGCACTCGGAAAAATTTGATGAGTAAAGGAATGAATGAAATTGTTGTTGCTGTGTACCGTTGAGTTGGAACCTATCCATAGCTGCCCCTCCAGCGAGTTTTCAGAGGCAGTTAATCGCAGGGGAGGAAATTGTCTACGTTCTCTAGAGCGGGCACTTGGGAAAAAATGGTGAATAAAGGAATGAATAGGGTACATAATTAATTATGAACAAATTTGAAAGTAGATGATAAAAATGTTTCTGGGATTCAATGGCAGAGGCATTCCATGATGAGATTCATATATACGGAAGTATAAAAGATTGTTGGGATTTTTTTATAACTTTCCTAGTGTTAAACATCAAGAAGGTAAATTTTACTTTATTCCTTTTTCTGTTTTTAGGTATCTCAGTCATAACAAAATATCTTCCCTGAAGCCAGGAATTTTTGAAGATCTCCATAGATTAAAATGGCTGTATGTTTTATTTCTGTTGCATTTTATTATATTCATTGTTATTATCTAAAAGTGTATAAATAAATTAATTTATTTTCTTCTGGATGGCAGAGTAATTGAAGATAATCACCTCAGTCGAATTTCCCCACTAACATTTCATGGACTAAATTCCCTTATTCTCTTGTAAGTATTGAACTAAAATATTTTAATTGAAAGAAAGGATATGAATTAAAATGACAACATCATGTTTGATAACTTTGAAATTGTTAAAGAGCTCAAAATGGTCTTTTTTAGCTGAAAACTCTTTTTTAATAGTATTTTGTAAGATTTTTTTTTATGGTTTAGAAAATTTGAACAATTACTCAATCATTCTGTCTTTCATCAAACCTGACAATAGTCTCACTGCCATACTTCATGGAAGTGTTCTGAAGCAATTCAGCAGTGTCCTATATTAATCTGGGTAAAGAAAACTAGCATTCATTTAAATTATTCCTTTTTTACTATTCACTATGAAAAGCATAGGCTTTGTTTCCATAACTAACATTGCTGATGTTCTCGCCCATACTACAGCTAATACTTTATTAATAATTAGCATGTAAATAAGACAGGTATAGAGAAAAATTACAAGTACAGACAACTAATTTAGTGGAGTTTCATTGTTTAAGAATAACTGTAATTCCGCATTTGACTTAATATGTAACTTCTGTTTCTTCTCTTTTTCAGATTGCTAATGGATAATTCCCTCACCCGTTTACCTGACGAACCTCTTTGCCAATACATGCCAAGACTTCAATGGCTGTAAGTTGTATCTCATTTATTATTATTATTATTGTTCATTTTAATGAAAATTTACAGAGGCTTTCCATTCATTCATTGTTGCACTTTTCTCCCTGCCCACCCCTCCCCCTCTAGTACACTCTTTTCTTTGAAAAATAAAAGAAAAATTCTTTCATTGTTATACAATCACTCCCCCTATGTCCACTCCACTCTGCAGCCTATGTTCTGGACTCCTTTCATGACAATAATACCTGAACACATATCCCTTTTAAACAGTTTTCTACCTCATCTGTTTCAATGCAGTATACATTATTGAACCCATCTTTCTCAGTCTCTCTCCAACCCCAAGGTCAGTCCTGTTTTACAAGAATGGCACCATGCAGTATTTGTCCTTTTGTGACTGAGATATTTCACTCAGCATAATGTCTTCCAGTATCACCCATTTTTAATAATATAGCATGAGTTCCTTATTTTTCTATGGAGCATAGATTTTCCAATGTGTAAATATACTATGGCTTCTCTATCCATTCGTTTGCTGATTGGCACTTAGGGTGTTTCTAACGCCTTGCTATTGTGAACAAAGCCGCAATAAACTTGGGTGTGTATATATCTGCCTGGATATCAGTTACGGTCTTTTGGGGGTACATTCCCAGTAGTGAAATTGCTGGGTCAAATGGTATCTCTATTTGCAACTATTTGAGAAAGCGCCATAGTGCCGTCCACAGTGGTTGCACCATTTTACACTCCCACCAACAGTGAATCAGGGTTCCAGGTACTCCATAACCTTGCCAGCATTTGTTGCTTTCTGTTCTGTTAAATTTTGCTGTTCTTACTGGGGGGAGATGATATCTCATAGTTCTTTTGATTTGCATCTCTCTTAGAGCTAGGGATTTTGAACATTTTTTCATGTTCTTGTTGGCCATATTCTTTGGTGAAGTGTCTGAATAAAGGTAAACAATTCAAATGAAAAAAAGGCCGGGATAAGTTTTGTCGATGGTATGCATAGGAATCAGATCGACTACATCTGTGGAAGGAACCGCTGGAGAAGCTCAATATCAGCTGTGAAAACTAGGCCGGG